AGTGCGCGGGAGGCTGGAGATGGGATTGGATATGGACCCAAATGTCTCCTTGCTTATTCAGAGCTTAGCAGAACACCCTGAACTTTCAGCCTCGCAAATACTGAGCTGGAAACAGCAGAACAAGCCCTCTGGGGAGATTTCATGTACATTTTTACCTGTGGCTGGGCCAGAAATACTTCAAAGATAGATTTCCTTGTGACATTTGAAGTTTTCTCATTCAGGTGCCTGCCAAAGCTTGAGCTCTACAGAGATAGATATTTATGGGGTCAGACTTTCAGAAGATCTCAGCTTCCACAGAGTCACCAAAATAAATGACCTGCTTTGCAAAAAAAGGTCTCATCACTGAAAAGACACTCAGCCTAGTGTCCCACAGGGAGCTGGTGAATTCAGAAGTCCCTTTGAAATCAGGATTCAATTGTGAGTGGTTTGCTTTTAGGTATCTGATCTGATCTATTTCAAGCTAGAATTTTTAAGGGGTTTGTGGAGCAAAAAGAAAGCTAGTAAACTCTTTAAGGCACAAAACTAAGTACAAAACTAGCTAACTATAGAAAGAAAGATCCTGATCCTCAAGTTCAAAGAAAATGGAAGAAACAAGAAAGCGTCTATGGCCTCAGTACACCAAGAGGAGAGGTCTAGGTATGGATAATTACCTATTGCCTTTGTCACATGAAAATAATGCAAATAGAATGGAGTCTGGGACTGGGGTCTAGTCCCAAACCTGCATTTACCTTACATCAGGAAGGACTTCTGCGCCACAATGTATGAGCTGCAGGCCCTGATGATTCCCCTACAACCCCAGCACATGTCCAACAAGAGACACTCACTCCCTCCTGAAGCACTCATTCCAAGAGCTACTTTGTTTTCCTTCCAGCTCTGCTGTGCTATTGCATGACTGGTTTTCACTAGGGGCTGTGCTGGATACTTTCCTGGTTCTTGGAGATCTGGGAAGCTTTGCTGTCTTTGGCTTGTGCAATTTGGCTTGCCTATTGTTCAAGGGAAAAAATTGTTCATCCAAACCTTTCCACCCAGTCTCACTCTCAATAACTAAGCCTTTGTATTTTGACCACAGGGAAATGTCCACAGTGATGCAAAAGGGATGTTGCCAGTAGTCTCAGCATGCAGCACTTTAATTGCATTCCACAGACCCAAGAAGAAACTCCTATTGGCTATGTCTGATCCAGGACATATGAGCAAACTGCTCTGACTGAGAAGTTAGCAGGCAGGAAGAACCAACTGCACAGCTGATTTACCAGTTGGGACTTTGGGCTGAAGAAAAGGGGAACCTGCAATCTCTAAAAGCATTGAAATCTGAGTCACTAGATCCTCAAGTAGGCAAAATCACCTTTAACTTTTCACTTATTTGTCCTTGAGCACCTCTTTGAGTTTTGCCCTGTGGACCTGATGACTGTGAGCTGCCTTGTTCAGATCCAGCCCACAGTGACCAGCACCAGGGCTACAACATATTGGTAAGGTGGGTTTGGATGTGGTACAATACTGCTGCTTCTGGATTGCTGCCTTCTCAGCAGCATGCAAACCCCTCTTGTGTCAGATCCACCCAGGCATGACTATGCATGACATACCACACAGGAGGAGAGTCATCAGAAGATCCTGAAATCAGCTGGTGACTAGCAAAAGATGTTCCAGCTGCTGTCTGCTGCCATAGAGGAGCTGTTTGCCAGTGGCACTTACCTAGCATCCCTTTGTTCGAACTGGTCAAGCACATATCCTTCTCAGCACTGGGAAGAACAAATCCAACCACAAACACCTCCACTCCATCTGCCATTAGTGCCAACCCTAAGACAAAGAAGAGGGTCCACTGGAAGCGTCCATGGCCACACTCCTCAATGATGTTCTCGTACTGGTGGGCAAGTTGCTCCTCATCCTCCATTCTCTCGGCCATAAGGTCAGCACGGTCTCTGTACTCATCATCCATGGCAGGAGCTCGCTTCTTCTGCTTTTCTTTAATGTCATCTGGGTGTGGGATCCCTTGGTACTCCCCCTCATAGACCTCATCATCCTCATCATGGCCTTCTGTAACATCACTCTGGGCATCCTCTTCATGAGCAGGCTCATCCCCGCCACGGTAGTAGCTGTCATTGGGTGCATCGTAGTTACCATCCTGGTACCTGTAGTCATCTGAGACTTGGTTTGTGTTTCTATATCCATCATCCATTCTGAATGGAGTATTCTAAATGCTGTAGATCACCGTGTGTAGATACTCTAAAATATGTATAGATTTGTGCAATTTCTGGTGTTGGTTACTTGAACATATCTTCTCTCGCTTTCTTTGGAACTGATGGGATACACAGTTTCCCAGGCTCAGAAGGAGAATTACTATATAAAGGTTCTCTTTGACAGAGTCTCACACAGCTTTTGATAATGCTTCACTTTTCAGCTGTCATTTGTGACTTGCTGGCTTCTGTGCTTTGGGTGAGAAGAGCTGCTGTCTGAGGAACAGCAAGGGAACAGCAAATTGCACAGCCAGGGAGCTAGGAGGATTTGACAGGTTTTCCCTGATTCATTGTGGTGCTGAAGGTCATGTCCTGAGAAAGAGGAAACAACAGCAATGAGACAGCAGTAAGCTTGCAAGCAAGCACACATGCACTGAGTTTAATGCCCAGCATTTTGAATACATACTTATCCATTGGAAAGACATGGCAACAGAGGAATGTATTTGCATCATCAAAACCCAAAGACTCAGAAAAAGAAGAGCATTAAAATGTACCAAATTCAGTGGGAACCTGTTGGAGTGGGATCCGGACCTGGAGTAACGATGAGTCTCAATATGAGTATGGTCGTTCTCCTTTATTCTTAGTACTTACAAGATATATATAGACATTTACACAGAGTACGCGAGCGCAGCGGATACATGATTGGTTTATTGCCCTTGTCCCAGTGTCCAGGTTAAACTTATGATTGGAGCAAGCAGGTGTCTGTCCACATTCCAGGATGTTTTCAGGAATACCAGGGAGCTTGTTGACACCGGACTCAGAGCCGGCCAGAGCCAGCTCTGCCAGGCAGAGCTCGCTCCTTATCAGCAGTTCAAGGCTAAGTCACAGCTGCTGTAGGCCTCACACCACACTACCAGCTGGGTTGTCAGCTTCAAGAAGATCATGTCCCTTTTCGCATAGCCATTCCTCCACAGGAACCTAAAGCAGAATGTAAAGTACGGTGTGGTCCCAATTTGTGTCATTCCTAGAAGTCCTCCCACATGTGGTCCTGGTTTCCACAGAAAACAGAACAGCACTGACTGGGTTGCTGGAACAGAGCTCTCAGGTTGCTAAATATGTTTCTATCCATCTACTCAGAGCACACTCATCCCTGGTCCCTACAACTGGCTAACATCATAATGAGATAAAATATGAGTTTGGGTTTCTTTTTCATCCAGATCCCAAAATTAATTTTATTTATCGGCTTCTTTATTTTTCCCCTAGTGTCTCTCCATCTGTATGACAGATGTGCAACTAGCATGCACTGTCTGCCAAGATAAAGTCACTGAAAGTCATACCAAGCTCTGTTCTTCCCATATCTAAACATCAACAGGGAATGATTTTCACAGAGAGCAAAAAACAAAGCTAATATAGAATCACCGTTCTCTGCAGGGAAAACCAAGGGAAGCCAAGACACATCTAAGCACATATTCATTTTGGACACCTGATTTCCATTAGTTCTCAAGTGGTTTCCAGCCAGCTGGCTCTCCAGTGTTCCCCTGCATTGGTTGCCACACACAGCTGCAGACATGGAGTTTGAAAGGAGACACACGTGGGAAATGGAGTGGAGTCACGCTAGAGGAGCCAGCACAGCGTAGGCATGCACAAAACATGGACTTTGCTTTAAGCTTTGAGCTACTTCCCTAAATAAAGTGTAAATGAGCTATGGATTGACATGGGCAGGCACATGTCTGTGTATGTGTGGGCGTTGTTACCTACACAGTCAGTTGACCTATAGAAGTGCACACAAACGCACACACTGTAAATAACAGTGCTATATGCAGCTGAAATGACTTCAGAGGAGAAATTCAGCAAATCACTCTCAGAAAATGCTCAGAATGGCACCACTCCTGCTGCGAATGCTGTGATTTTCTAGCAGCCCAAATACTCAGGGTAAGGAAGGAGCAGAGGCTTCACCTCTCTGCATGGAGTCATGGCCATGCTTTGCCTATGCTGTTCATGGCAGCTGCTCCAAGACACTTCCTAAAAGCTTCCTCTGCATTTCTGCTTATCTTCCTATATATTTATGGCACATAATTACAACATGGCCTTTGCAGGCCCTGCTAGAGCATCTTTCTTTTTTCTGTCCCCCTGCTATTTGTCACTGTGCTTCCTTTTCCCTCTTTTTAGGCTGAATAACACCATATATTTGTATAAAGTGAAGGAGGCAGCAGGGCATTCTTCCAGGACTCAAAAAGAGCAATTGATAAAGAAAAAAGAATTAAAAGAAATAAATCCAAAAGGCATTCTGCTCAGGTTATAAAGATCAGGAGACTACAGTGCAGTGAACAGTAAAGAAAAGTGTTTGCATCAGCAATGGAGGTTTTATTGTGTGGGGGACTTAATATACCTGACAACCATCAGAAGCACTTAAGTGAGTTCTACAGCTCTTGTTCCAATGCTAGAGTGTCACCTCTAATGGTTAAAAAAATCCAAATGTACTTTTGAGACACAGAACCTCCCAGTCTTGAAGTAACTTTCTTGATTACACAAAGATTTGTGTCGTGGCTGAACACCATGTTCTCCAAGGCGGTAAAATGTTGTTCCACAGAGACTTATTTTCTTTTCAAAAGTAGGGGAAAGAGCCTTTTAGTTTCAAAAAAAAAAAAAAGAACAATATGTGCTAGGGAACATTAGGCCTTGCTTTGGAAGTCTTTAAATATCATCTGCTGGCAGGTTATCCTTCAAAGCAACCTCAAACGTCAGAGCAGGAAGCACAGTGACCTCACTGCTTTTGTCCCTTTCTGGTTGCTACAGAATTGGATTGAAAACTCATCTTAGGAAATGAAGTAATAGTAACAGTACTGATCAATAACAGAACTGATCAGAATCTGTGTCTCCACAGACCTCATCCCTTGCCTTACACTTACTTTTTCAAAAGGTAAAGTCTGTTCTTAAAGACCAAGCGCTGGAAATCTCTTAGTTCCATTTAAAAAAGCTGCTGAGGCTGGAAGCTGAGCTCTTTGCCTCCCACAGCAACAGGATCAAAGATCACAGACTTAGAACAGACCTGTTGAAGCATCCATGCTCTTTCACTGACATACAAACATTGGCATTTACTGCATAGAATCACTTACATCTTGAGCAGCCTAAGAAATAGTGACATGAGCTGACGAGTCTCATAGACCAGTGTCAGCCACCTGTGTGGGGAAGAACATATAATCCAGAAACAGGTCATGGTAAAAAATAGTCACTGGGTTTCCATTCAGTCTGTAGGATGGATGTTTTCTGAGATCACTCCAGGAGAAGGGGCAGTGCCCAGAGCAGGCTATAACTTCAGACTTTTGAATGCTATACTTTCATACTTCACACCTCTTGTTTTCTTTCCTTCCCACATATGCACAGGCTGATTCACTCTAGACCTGATTCTTTAACACCTTTTCACTCTAGCTGAGCTGCACTCACTCACATTAACAGCCCCATTTAGCATTTAGATGCGAAATCATGATGTGTCATAAAGATGGCAGGCTTGGATTGCTATAATTATCCTTCACAGTGATGCATGAGAGCTTGAGACAAATATACACATCACACCAAGCCTATTGTAGCAGGGTGGGTGTCAGCCTCTTCTCCCAGATAACAAGCAACAGGACAAGAGGAAATGGCCTCAAGTTGTGCCAGGGAAGGTTCAGACTGGATATTACCAAAATTTCTTCACCAAAACAGTTGTCAAGCATTGGAACAGGCTGCCCAGGGCAGTGGTGGAGTCACCATCCCTGGAGGGATTTAGAAGATGTGTAGATGTGACACCTGGGGACATGGTTTAATGGTGGGCTGGGCAGTACTGGGTTAATGGTTGGAGTCAATGGTCTTAGAGGTCTTTCCCAACCTGAATGATTCTTTTACAGCCCTAGGTTTCTTTAAACTGACAGCTCCTTTTCTGAGACACACAAGTGAGGTTTAAACACCCAACAAATGTCAGGCTCCATAAGGCAGAGTCTGCAGGGGAGGGAGGGCAGAAGCAGGGAAGCCTCATTCTGGGTCCCCCCCAGAACAGCCCATTAAACTGAGTGTTGAACACAAAAACCTGGAATATGTGGGAATTCACTTCCTTGCCTCATTAGTAATTCTCCATAGCACAGTACTTAATTCTCAATACATTACCTTGCTTTTCCTTCCCCTATTTTTTGCACTATAGCTTTTCCTCTATATTCTACTTCACATTTACCTTAAACTTATTTCCCTGCCGAACAGTCCATCTCATCATTTACTGTGATGCTACAAGCATCCTTCGCTTAGCCCTGCATCTTGCACACTCTAATTAGTTTAACAGCAACTCTTTAAACACACTATCCACCTTGAGTTTTCTTGCACTCCTTAGCTCTTTAGTCAGCTCAGATGTTGCATACCTAGCCAGGAATTCAGTCATTTGAGCTCTGCAGCTTAAAATAGTAACCTAAAGTCTTTGGATATCCTCATAATAGAAACAGTATCTACTCTAGAAAAAAAGGGACCATTAAGAAAAGCAGCTTAACACCTGCATTTACCCCTGTGAGAGAGCATATAAGGCATGTGCCTGGCATGCTGAGGTGATAAACTGAGGGCTGGAGAGCAGCAGAAGTTGGAGGGGATGCAGAGAAGGGTGAGTTTCTTCTACCTGGCACTAAATGAAGAGAGCCCAGGGCTTGTCAGAAAGCTGAGCTCTGGCAGAGAACAGACCTCATGGCAAATTAGTGAGCCGGGTGGATGTGGAGAGGGGATTTCTAATGAAATATTGAACCTTGGGGCATGATGAAGTTTCTGGAAAAGTAAAGTGAGGTTGCTGCTTTGTGGGAACCTGGGCTGAAAGAAACTGTGTTGCCCAAACGTATATGTGCAATGGGAGAGAGACAAGGCTGGGAGTTGCCATTCAGATAATTTTTGCATGCTCAGAAATGGAAAACTCTCCAAATCATAGCTGAAGGGAGAGGTTATTTGAAAGCTAAGGGGAAGGAGTAGCACAGGGACACCATTAAAATGTTTC